GAAGCGTGTGAGAAACGTGCGACTTTCGTGTAAGACCCGTGTGAGAAACGTGTGACTTTCGTGCAAGAATCGTGTAAGATTCATTCGGAAGTCATTTCATTTTAAATATGGCTATCGATGGGTCAGGATCTCAAATTGTATTAGTATTTTATTATTGAATACGTTATGCTTGTGATATTTTAGGAGTAAAAAATTGGAACAACAAAATGAAATTACACGGTAATGTATAATATATATTTGATTTATTGGGCATTTATTTTAATATGATATGAACGCGATCATGGCTTCTTAAATATTTTTTTTCTCAAACAAGGAAAGAAATACCGGTATTATTATTATTAATTTTTAATTTAAAGCAAAAATATATCAGGACTGCGCTCTTGTCTTTACATTTAAAGTACGTGATAGAAAGTTTTGAAAAGATGTGTCATTTAATACCTTTTAATACATATAATTTGTTGCTGATTATTGTCAAATAAATGGATTAAACTTTTCATTCCCATGCACCGATGACCACATGTTTAGAAACCGGGGGGGGGGGTGGTGGTGGTCTTAAATTAAATTACTAGTACAGTCTTTCATTTTTTTTTGTTGTAACTTTAATCTAATGTTAGTTTATAAATGCTTAATTTTCTATTCTTTTTAAAAAATCCTTTGTAAAATGTGTGCGCAGATACACCCCTTAAAAATATATTGGAGTCTTCTTTTCGCCTTTAAACTGTGATCAAGGTCATTTACAACAGCGATCACGGGCTCCGAGTGCATGGCTACCGAAAACCTGTTTTGTTATATATATGTACATAATCACGGCTTTTCGACACCTGAAAATTACGAGTGGGTTTTATTTTCTTTCTTTTTTTTTAATAAAATGGTTCTATAGGTATTTAATGGGTACAACTTATATATCAGCGGATTTCATCTTTTATTTGTTATTCCGAATTTCTAGCCGTAAACAGTAAAATAAACAGAACTGATATGGTAGTCTTTTCGTGAATATCATGTAAGAAAATTTAAGGAGTAAATCATGAATAAATGACTATTATTTGTTTTATAAATCACGTTCTTTTCATTTCATCTAAGATATTTCGGTTTTCTTTTTATTATACCCGATTGCAGGTGTAAAGATCGATCTACATTGTATGTACAATGTATAATCAAATGCCACGACTATTAATTAATGTGCACATTTAAACATACGTGAGTCGTGTTTGTTAAATGAAGGATTTTACAGTATGATGGGTATACTGATGTTATTTTTTTAGGCTTCAAGTAAAAGAAAAAGAGAATAAAAATAGATTAAGACATCACATTTAACCCCCACTCTTACCGCTCTCCCTCCTATAGATAATGCTTACGTAAGATAAAAAAAATTCTTTAAGAATGTATCAATAATCGTTAGTAGAGTACATATGCAAATGTTATTACTAAATCAAAATCAAGAAAAATAATCTGCCTACGGAAATCAAACACAATATAATCAATGTTATTTAAAATCAATGAGTTTATATTCCTGCAGTAAGAAATCGAATTTTTGTTTAATTTATTAAACTATACTCGTAAAAATATTTAAATGCAAGAGATACATTGTAATGAATGACTAATATATGAAAAAAATTATTTTATCAAACATTCATTCATGATATCGGTATTTCGTCTTTAAACGTTTGGATAAATAAATAAATACGAAATGACAATTATTTATTAATTAATTACAACTATCAGAGTATAAAATATTTCTATCGGTTTACATGATACTAGCTAGTGTACTAATATTTAATTTAAACAGCTGCTTAATTTGGCCTTGTGAAAGATTTCCATTTAATTAATGATAAAATCGTAATAATGTCCGAGATATTCCGAGTAGAAAATCCAAACCGAGGCCAAAACGTGCGAGAATCGTGTACAAAACGTGTGAGAAACGTGAACAAAGCGTTTCGTGCAGCCTTTCGTGTAAACCGTGCAGCCTTTCGTGCAAAGCGTTTCGTGTAAACCGTGTAGCGTTTCGTGCAAACCGTGTAGCGTTTCGTGCAAACCGTGTAGCGTTTCGTGTAAACCGTGCAGCGTTTCGTGCAAACCGTGTAGCGTTCGTGTACCGTTCGTGCAGCGAGCGTGTGGGGTAGTAGCACGTCTCAGGGTCTGTACATTAATTTTAATAACTTTATACATGTATAATACACTTGCATGATATATTGTCACAACAACTTCCCGATTATACTGTCTTTATTTTATTGCAGAACATATACTCAGTCCTTCATTAATACAGAAGACATTTTATTTTATAATAATAATGTAGTTTCCTTCTTATCTTTAAAAACATGATTTTTTTTGTTTTGTGTATCTAAATTTTGCACCACCATTCTTAGATCTATTAATCTTTGAAACACACAAATTTGTATTATATAAAAACTCTGTTGTTTGATCAATGAAAAATAAGAATATGTGTCAAAAAAAAAAAGAAATGTGTGTCATTAATGATGTTCTTCCTTGTTGGTATTAAAGATATAATTGCCTCCAGATCACAGCTGTAATTACACAAAACAAATCAACCCCCTAAAGCGGTATTCATTCTATGAATTAGATGACAAAGCTGGACAAAGGCAATGCACTGAGATAATTATTTCAATTGTGTGAAAATAAGAAAAAAAAAAACTTTCAATAAGATACATGTAATTATTAATATACATCAAAATAGAATTCAAGGAATGAATTTTGTATCTGAAAAACAAATTATATTTTGTACAAGTATTATCTATGAAGTAAAAGAAATATTAAATTGAGGGATTATAGTTGCAATTCATTTTACTTATTCAAAATACCGGTACCCCCTTTTAATCAAATACCATATCCCATGCAATTTGTGTACACGAACATTGTAGGTGTGTGGAGAAAACTGCACCAAATGATATTGACTAGTTCTTTACTGTTTTGTAAATAAAAGTTGTGATTTAAGCAACAAAGATACACAATGCCTAATAGCATATTATTTCTTCATTGTTTGTTTAGATGTAGCGCTTTTATACAAGTACATGTAAATGATCCCTTTTCTGTATATTCATACCATTATAAAAATTTTCAAAGAATTGAAAGTGTAATTTATAATTCAATTAATTACTTTTGTAAAATAATTGTAGTTTAATTAATAACAGGTCTTAAAACAACTGTGATTTAATTGAAGAAAAAGGAAATATTTAATTGTAATTTAACTATTGCTGCATAAATGAGGACAGAAAAGTTAAAGTAATCACGTTAATCATAGACGTTGGTTGTGAGAGTTCCGTGTCGTATAATTTTGTACAGTAAATGATTTGAAAGGGAAAAAAGAGTTTTGATCTTTACAAAAAGCAACACTTTTTCGTATAAAGTGACTACTTATGCGAATCGAATGAATTTAATAAAGTTAATATGTAGGTGATAACGATATATTGCTAACATGTAATGGAAATAAACGATTTAATTGACGAAGTCACAAAACTATCATCAAACTTCGAATTGTTTATATATAAATCAACAGCGAAATCAAACTACATTCGATAGTTTTTATTATATATCTTCACATGAAATTAACGTGTATTATTTTTTTAACTAATGAGTGCGGTTCTTTTGATAGACAATTTAGCATTAGAGAAACTTGCCTGGCAAAAAACCAATTTTAAAGAAATCTGGGGAGCAGACAAGGCTGTGGATGGGAAGTATACTGATCGTGGAGCAAGTGGTAACCAGTGTACAATATCAGGAGATAAAAATCAAACGGCAGAGTGGAGAGTAGATCTAGAGAGAGTCGTGAGCATCAGTTACATCAACATCTTCTACAGAACGGATAATTATCCCAGTACGTAGTATAAAAAAGTTATCATTTATATAAAAGACAAAATAATAACCTTTTGTGACTAGCATTATTCATATCCATTATTTGTCATTTTATTGATTTCATAATGCTCCTAGCTTTCCTCATGCTTAGGTCTGTGTAACCTAGGTAGGTACATTGTACCCAACTTTACCAAAACCACAGTTTGAACTTTTTGGCCAATCAGCGTGGCTCTTCACCTCGTGTGATCATTTTGTATTATTTTACTAAAAAGGTGAAACCACGCGAAAATTTCAACGAAAATTATCCTCCATCCAACACCAGAACTACCTCCTCAGCTTTTAGTTGTTTTCACCTCCTTGGCCTGTATTTTTTAGATAACTCGCCTTTTAGTGGGCGGAGAGGTTGTTAAAAACAAGCCAAGTCAACTTGGCAAGATATTTCTGCAACCAACATACACATTATTATTTTTGTAGAAATATAAACAGTATATAAAATTTGTATACAAACCGATTAAAATCGATCGGTTTCAATTCAGGTTCAAGTGCGTACACTAGCAGATTTGCTGGATTTTCACTATTCATTTTGAGCACAACTTCTATAGATGATGGCTACCTTTATTTTTATACAAATTTGAAATTAATCGGTTTCATTTCAGGTCCAAGTGCGCACACTGGCAGATTTGCTGGATTTTTCCTCTACATTTCAAACACGACTTCTAAAGATGATGGCCATCTTTGTTTCCATGAGATACAGAATGTGAGTGGAACACCTATACAGGACCAGAGAATCAACTGTTCTCTCTATGGACGTTATGTGATATATTACAATGAAAGGAGACCGAATGTGACTTATCCTAACTACTACTCTCAGTACGCATACAATGAATTGTGTGAATTAGAAGTCTACGGTAAATTGCAGTTCATTACTCCATGTTTAAATGTTCTTTTTAATAAAAAAAAAATGATTAAGAAAAAAAAATTAAAAATCTTCGAAAGAAAGTAAATGTACGATCGTATATTAAATATATGCATTGCTCATTCCAAGAAATAAAAAAAAAAGTTCTTTATAGATAATCTGTGTTTAATGGGTTTTTCCAATATGTCATGAACTTGAAAATAAATATTATTTTTAATAAACTAGAAAATTTTAAGTATTGATGAACAGAGATAAAAAGTAACTATTAGTTTAACAGGGTGCCCTGTTCCTGGATATTATGGAGACTTTTGCAACCAGACATGTCCAATTACGTGTCAGGGACAGCAGTGTGACGCCGTGACAGGGCAATGTGTAAAGAGATGTTTATCAGGATATACTGGTTTGCACTGTAATTATAGTAAGTAATGTCTTCCCATTTGTCGAAAATATACCTAAAAAGCAATAAGGAATTTAAATTAATATATTTCAAGCCAGGTAATTGAATTGTTCATTGGATTTCGATATGCTAACTTTAAACAAAACTGTTCGCATGTTTGTTTCATCAACGTCTTTGTTAATAGAATATCTAGATTTAGAATTTTTTGTATAGTCTGCTCTTTCGTGTCGAATGAACTATATCAACCCAATATGCAGGTGATGCTGATATATTGCTACATATGTATTCGAAACAGATAAATTGGTTAATGAGGCCGAGTCTAATACGAGTGCGCATGACTTTGCGCAGCTTATAAATTTAATGCAGTCATATGTGCGACAGTACATGTACACCTTTCCAAAATATTGTGATTTTAATATAAAATTAACATCATCTGTAATGCCTACTGTCTGAAAATGTGATTTTACGAGAATAATTAGAAAAAAACCTGCTGAAATAGCTCCAACGACATCACTGTTTTCTGATTTTGTACGAAATGCACGACTCTGAAGAATGACACAAGACTAGCTTATATATTCGTAGACGTCCATGGATATTATACTATAAATTGATTACAGAAAATCAAAGGAAACATATAAGCAATCTAAATATTGCTATTTTTAAAAAAATATCATCTGCGACGATAATTCATCTACGCCAATATTTATATTAATAAAGCGATATGGCAATTTTAGAGGTTTTTGGCATCGAACACAAACTTTGTAATTAAGACCTTAACCAACCTAAATGGTAAACCTTTCTGAAATTTTACAATTTGGTGACTTTATACTATAAATTCTACCTGCTTGACTGAAAAAGAAATCTTTTGGGCAGAAATACAAAAACAAGAGGCCCAAGGGCCACATCGCTCACCTGAGCACTGTGGCTAGGAAAAAGCAGCATTGATTTATACTTGAAAAGCTTAAATCCAATAGTAGTCCCAAGACCAATCATGGCTTTGCTTTTCTTGAGAAGAAAATTTTAAAAGAATTTTCCTATACTTTTCCCCGCCCTACCCCGAGGTTCATGATTTGAACAAACTTGAATCTACACTACCTGAGGATGCTTCCATATAAATATGATCAATAATGGCTTTGCTATTCTTGAGAAGAAGATCTTAAAAGAATGTTCCTATACATTTCTATGTAAAAGTTTGGTCGGCCATTTTGGCCCCACCCTACCTCTGGGGGTCATGAATTAAACAAACTTCAATTTACACTACCTGAGGATGTTTCCATATAAATATGATCAATTATGGCTTTGCTATTCTTGAGAAGAAGATCTTTAAATAAATTTCCTATATATATCTATGTAAAACTTTGGTCGGCCATTTTGGCCCCGCCCTACCCCTTGTGGTCATGATTTGAACAAAATTGAATCTACACTACCTGAGGATGCTTCCATATAAATATGATGAATTATGGCTTTGCTATTCTTGAGAATAAGATTTTTAAAGAAATTTCCTATATATTTCTATGTAAAAATTTGGTCGGCCATTTTGGCCCCGCACTACTCCTGGTGGTCATGATTTGAACAAACTTCAATCTACACTACCTGAGGATGCTTCCATATAAATATGATCAATCATGGCTTTGCTATTCTTGAGAAGAAGATTTTTAAAGAATTTTCCTTTACATTTCTATGTAAAATTTTGGCCCCGCCCTACCCCTCAGGGTCATGTTTTGAACAAACTTGAATCCACACTACCTGAGGATGCTTCCATATAAATATGATCAATTATGGCTTTGCTATTCTTGAAAATAAGATTTTTAAAGAAATTTCCTATATATTTCTTTGTAAAAATTTGGTCGGCCATTTTGGCCCTGCCCTACCCCTGGGGGTCATGATTTGAACAAACTTGAATCTTCACTACCTGAGGATGTTTCCCCATAAGTTTCATCTTTCCTGGCACAGTGGTTCTTGTGAAAAAGATTTTTAAAACATGCCACCAAATTTTCATTAATTCCCTATTATCTCCCCTTGATTGAGGGCATGGCCCTTCATTTGATTAAATAAAATTAATAACTCTGTGAAGATTTTTTAAAATGATAAGAGCATAACTGTCATTTTATAGAAAACTTAGCATTACGGAAACCTGCCTGGCAGATGGCTAATTACTCGGGAGCTTGGCCATGGGGAGCAGACAAGGCTGTGGATGGGAATTATACTGATCGCGGAGCTACGGGCAACCGGTGTACAATATCAGCAGTTGAGCAAGTTACAGCAGAATGGAGAGTAGATCTAGAGAGTGTGGTCAGCATCAGTTACATCAACATCTTCTATAGAACGGATAATCTACCAAGTAGGTGTGTTTTAATATTCAATAACTGGATCAAGATACAAGAATCAAAATTTTTCTGGACTTGTGCCATAAAATCGAAGTTGTGCAATGAAAAATGTAGAAAATAATATTTATACAAGGCTGTGTATAGCGGATTAAACTAGAAACTTTAAATTATCTACTAGCATTTTCGTTCAAATTTATACATGACTTAGTATACCAAAGGGTTCTACTGTAAATCAGCTTCTTCACTCAAACAAAGATAAAAGGATTTTTCTTGACTCTACTCAAAAAGCGAATGATGGTAATGAGGTGACAGAAAACGTTATGTGGATTTCAACTAGGATTAGTAAATATACATCGCATCTTCGCTGACTCGGCAAGAACATCTCGAAGTAATGTCCTTGTATTTCAAAACATGTATATTTTTATACAAATTTGATATTAATCCGTTTCATTTCAGTTCCAAGTGCGTACACTGGCAGATTTGCTGGATTTTTCCTCTACATTTCAAACACGACTTCTAAAGATGATGGCCATCTTTGTTTCCATGAGATACAGAATGTGAGTGGAACACCTATAGAAGACAAGAGAATCAAATGTTCTCTCTATGGACGTTATGTGATATATTACAATGAAAGGAGACCGAATGTGACTTATCCTAACTACTACTCTCAGTACGCATACAATGAACTGTGTGAATTGGAGGTCTATGGTAAATTACAGAAAATTTCTGCATTTTTTTTCTGATTAAAAGGCAAATGTAATCAAACAAAAGGTTGCAAGCATAATAAAAATATATGTATTTCACAGTCCAAGAAACATAACTCCTAAATTGGTCACCTGAGTTTTTGAGTTACTTTCAATATACTTCATTTTTTGTGGATAATCTGGACAGATAAAACTAATGATCAACGGCAATTAAAAAAAATACAATTCGTTGAATAGGATGCCATATTCCAGGATATTATGGAGAATATTGTAATCAAACATGTCCAGTTAATTGTCAGAGACGGCAGTGTGATGTAAATGGTGACTGTGTAAGTGGATGTTTATCAGGATATATAGGTCTGCAGTGTGGTGAAAGTAAGTGATTTCCCTCCATTTGTTAAAATATTTCCAAAAAGATTCTTTTTTTGTAATCTTCTTTAAATCTCACTCCTCCATGGCACCTGATCCCCCTCTGATATTTTGGAGGTCCGTGATTGATCTTTTCCTGTTTTGTATTGTTTTATTGAGTTTGACGTTGAATACTGCTTGTTATCTCCTTCATTTGATAAGTAAAACACTGAAGAGTCAGAAAATTATTTTATTTTAAACCCCTCAGAACTGAATTGGAGGGGATCTAGAAACGCTTTTGTGTTTGTGTTTTGCTTATGTGTAAGTTTGTCCCTGTTATGTTTACATAAACTTAACGTTCTCTATCTCGTTTGTTAATAAATAAATGGTGTTCAAATTTCGGCTGATCAGTAGATGATGCCATACCTAGGAATTGTAAAAATTAAAATTCATTTTTAAAATATCAGGTGAAACTGTGTCCATGACCCTTTAAGTGGGTTCAACCCTAAGATCAAGGTATAAGGATCTAATTTAATGTTCTCAAAAGAAAGGTCTTGTTACAAGGAATAAACTTATGAAAAATTAATTAATGCTGTAGCACTATATAATAAAACGTGATGGCCAGCGTTTAAGTCTTTTTGCGGACAAACAGACAACCATACAGACAGTCGGACGGAAACGTAAAAACAACCTTATGCCCAAAGATCTTTGATTACGGTTTTTTTTATCCCCCATCAATTTTCAGAATGTGGCGGAGTAACATACGGTGTTAACTGCACTCAGGTCTGTGGTCAATGTTTAAACAGTGAACAGTGTCATCATATCAACGGTACTTGTTTACACGAGTGTTCTCCTGGATACAAGGGACCGGGCTGCAAAACTAGTAATTATCAATCTATATTAAATTGATTTTGATTAAGAATATAATTGTTTCATCACCTGTATACTGTATACCACAATGAAATCTTATAATTGAAATATATTGCAATTTTGCAAAATAAAAACAGAAAAATATTCCATAGAAAAAAAATAAACTTATAAGCATATAAATAAATGCAGACAAAATGATATCGATATCATAATAGTTAATATAACTTTTAAAATATCCAGAATGTGATAGTTGGATGTATGGTATTAACTGTACTCAGGTCTGTGGTCATTGCATTAATTATGAACAGTGCCATCATATCAACGGTACTTGTTTACAAGGATGTTCTCAAGGATACAAGGGATCTCTCTGCAATTCTGGTAAAGTATTAACGTCTTTGCTTGTTCTTTCAACTTTGTAAATATATTATTGGCTTATTCGCATATTAACTTCGAAATACAATTTTAAAAAAGTTTCTACTTGATACAAATGAAAACAAAGAGTAAGGGAAATTTCTGAATTCAAAATAGCGTGTGATGAAGGCATGTATGGGGAAAACTGCAATCAAACCTGTGGGCATTGTATAAATAATATTCAGTGTAACCACGTCAACGGTTTGTGTTATGAAGGGTGCTCTGTAGGATTCAAAGGATTACTATATATGTGACAAAAGTATCGTATTTTCAATTTCAATACAGTGTGTCAATTATTTCGAATCTGTAGTTTATGTTCATATTATGATTTCATGCCAAACCTTTATATATTAAGCATGTGACGATGGCATGTATGGTGTTAATTGCAACCAAGTCTGTGGTAATTGTCTTAACAATGAACAGTGCCATCATATCAACGGTATTTGTTTACAAGGATGTTCTAAAGGATACATAGGAACCCTCTGCAACATTGGTATGTTTTTTTTTTTGCTGGGATGGGGGTTGGAGGTGAAAAATCTGTGTCTAGCTTTGTTTATGACATCTAGATCTTAACAATTACATGCACACCTAACAAAGATGTCGAAAACTTATCTAATTTTGTATACATCTTCTGAAATTTGTTTCCCTTTACTTATTTATTCTTGATCTCTCATATTACATGTAAATATTAAAACTTTTATGTGTCATTTACTTCTCTGGATTTGCAAATGTAGTAGTTATATAAAATTAAAATACTTAATAATGATTTTAAATTATTGTTTTAAGTTTTAAATGATAAAGTTTTTATTTTCAATATTGTGTGTATACTAGGAAACAAGCTTTTTGGAAGATTAGTTTTAACTAAACATAGATTTTTTTCCTAGACAAGTCAGATTAACAAGTTTATACAACAACAACAAAAACAGAATAGGATGTCAGAAATAAATAGAATTTTCAATAGCGTGTGAAGTTTGGCTATAACTGCAATGAAAGCTGTGGACGTTGTATAAAAATACCACGTGTAACCATGTCAACGGTACATATCCAGAAGGGTGTGCTGTGGGATACCAAGGGCCTCTTTGTACAAATGGTATGAAATACAGTTTATGTTTTATTTTGTAATGTTTGTTTATTTGTAAAGCTTTCAATTTCATTTTTTATGCCATGAATATTATTTCGTTTGTGTGCTCTATCATGAAACACTTCATTAGGTATTTCTTTCTCCGATTGATACACAGGTTGACCGCTAATGTCCTTGAACCTGTTAATTGTTTTGTAGTTTGCAGTCGATCGTACTGGGGAGTCAATTGTAAAGAGACCTGTAGTACGGAATGTGTCAGCCAGACTTGTCATCACGAGTCAGGACATTGTCTATCGTACGCGCAGGTAATGTAATTAATGAAACAGGGGAAGGATATAGCAAATGAAAAAGATTTTATGAAAATTAGTGATAAAATAATAAGCTTTAAATCTATTTAATTTGTATTTCTCATATGTTGAAATCAATTTCATTATGATTAATGTATAAATACATAAATGTTTAAAATACAAACTGTAATCATATTTCGTTCAATTTTCGCAGACACAGTCTAGCAAAATATGTAAGAATGACTATACCATTACCATTACAAGTGTGGTTATCTGTATTTCAATTGTTTTGATGAGCAGTCTCCTAAAATTTGTTATCTGGAGGAAAATGCACAGTAAGTAAATGTAAATTCTATTTTGGCCATTTATGTGTTTAAACACCCTCAGAAAAAGTTTATTTAAACTTCACATTTCAAATAAATAAAAATGTCATTATTTGGTCTTTTTAAAGTAAAAAGTAATACTTTTAAAAGCATATGTTATGTTATACATAGATCGAAAATCCGTGTTTCTACCGAAACCTTTAAATATTGCCATAAACATGATATGACACCCTTTTTTTATAACAACCCTCTGATATGTATTTAACCTTTTACAGAGAAAGGGACAGATGTAGATACCCCAAATGACAAAGTCTATTACAACGAATTCCAATCTGTTGATATACGAGGTAAAATCAAATATTCAAATGTTAAGGGAATTTTTTTCATACGAACACTGTAACAGATCGAGGAAACTATTTTCTGTGACGTCGGAATAAATTTACATATTAAGTGAGGAACCAACGTGACTGAATAATCGACCAATCAGCTCAACGAGTTGCATTATGGGTTACTACAAAAATACTACATGTGTTTCAAAAAGCCATTTTTTTTTAAATCACTCTCGGAAAGACATGATGCATTTTTCAAGCATTTTACATGCTTAATGTAATATGTACATTATTATCTATTATTCCCATGCTCACATTTACATGCAAATGATTAACAATGATAAAAAGTAGGGTATTCCCCACTCCATTGTACAAGTCCGTTTGTTTACTGCTTTCCCTATGTTGTACTGTCAGTGAAAAGTCAATTTCACGTGGATATTCATCGGTAAAAAAAAACAAAAAAAAACTCAATATTGTGCTCAAGTATTGACAATACTTACAACGTATACATCTTCGAAACGTACATTATGCTAGCTATTCAATACACGTTCGATTATCAACGCACATGAGAATTAATATAGAGGTAAATTTAAAAAAAGAATGTGCAACTCAAGTCCTTTTTGTAAATACATGAACTTCAAATTTCTATTACAAATACCTGATCAACAAATATTTCAGCCAGTTACATGGCATATTTACGATTATCAAGTACTTGAGTCCTATGTTTTTTACTTGTGGAGACTTTGTGAGCGGTATTTCAAAGTACTATTTAATCAGGAAAACTGACTTTGCTAATGTGAGCATGGGAATTCTTGATTAGTACCTATTCTTCATACTTTTCTCAAACACATTTCAAAAAATTGTAAATTGACTTTCCAGCAGTCATTTGAAATCGCATCCTAAATTTCCCTTAAACAACGTGTTTGTAATAAAAATAAACATGTAGTAGACCATCATGCTTTTCGGCTCATTCACTAGATTGGACCATTGTTTGCTGTGAGCACCTTTGTGCGCAATGACAACAATATCCATATAAGGTAGTTTCCTCGACCTGTGTAATGTGAACAAAGTAAACGGTGAAATTCAATGGTGTTCAATTCGATGTTTATATCCAACCAATACCTTGGTATTTAAAATGATTGTATTAAAAGGTAATGCTATAGGTTTAAAAAACCCTTTACATTCACCCATGGATAAATAATTACATAATTTGTCTACAAATGACCCAGACTGTCATAAATATGTAAAGCCGTTTTAACCAATAAAATGTCAATCCAATTACATGTATACAAAAAGGTATAACTTTATCAGGAAGTAGTCAATCTTAAGCTTATGATTTTCAGAAAAACAGAGTGGGCAAGATATGTATGTATTGTCTTATTCACTTATATATTAAACTTTTTCACTTTACTCAAAACTTTTTCCAGGATTGATTTTTGAATATTTTTTAATCTGACAGGAATATTTCTCCTTATGCAGAACTTAGTGAACTTGCCATCCAAACACTTATGAAGAACTTCATCAAAATACAAAAGCAGGCGATGAAATATAAATAGACGCATTGCTGATGTTAACATTTTAATGTAAAACTCAATTTCCTTTTCAGCTTTACTTACATAGACTTTTCTGATGTTCAATGTCAGTAAATATTTTTATTTCTTATTGAGAGGACATCTGTCAAATTCTTTCATGAAAAACGCAGGAGTAATTCGGATTTTATGCATTTTTTATCCCTCTTCATAGATCTTTACCAATATTATACTTTCATGTAAATAACTTGAATCTGATTCGTCGAGAAACATTTGATAAAAACCACTACTACCCGCTGAATAATGAAGCCACGCCCTCCTGCGTAGCAACAGTCAACATTGCTTGACGACGGGTGGCATTACAAAAAATAACGACTGGGCGGAATTTATGCGCGCACGGTTCACTGTAATATGTATTCGTATAAAACATTCAGTATAATATAATAAATATTGCATGTAGTTAAGTGTAACATTGAAATTTTCACCCCAAGAAAACCATTGTCAACCTCGGCTGCGCCTCGGTTGACAATGGTTTCCTTGGGGTGAAAATTTTCAATATTACACTCAACTACATGCAATATTTATATACTATCACATTCATGTCGCACAACATGACGTTGAAAAATGGTTATATATTTAACACTGCTTAGGTAGTTTTCTTACTGCGGTACAAGCTAAGGGTCAGTATTGAAGTAAACCCTTAGCACACGTACCTAATGTAATTAAGATTGACATATTTCTTCAGATTATGCTGTGTCAAATTTTATAATCCGTATGTCACAAGTATTTGATAATTGGTTTTTCTCACACATCTCAAATACAAACAAATGCCTACCATTAAACGCTATGGAGGGGGAAGTTTTAGTATTAATTTACAGTATAAATGCTTCTATACATGCTTAATGCAAATTTTATGTTGTTCAAAATTCTCACAGTTTGCATTATTCTTCAAATTGTACACCGTCTAAGCATGTAACAAGACAGAGATATTTGATAATCATATTGAATAGATTGAGCTTTTCCGTACTGTATTCATATAAAATGTGAGCAGATGGTACAGTGTATTAAACACATATTTGAAGTTAATATTTCTCTTTTTTTATACAGTATAAAAAACATTATTTTGTTATAGCATTATACACCGACTCATAATCATAGTATGTTAAGGAACTTCTTTTTCCTTGGATTTTCTTTGGATTTTAATTTAATTATGAATTTAAGTCGAGTTTGACTACATTTAATGAATCAAAAATTCTATGTTCTCTTTAAATTCATTTCTTTAAACTGTGAGATTTTGTTTTATGTTCGAAATCTCTAGTTTTATGTTATATGAAAGAAACATTATCAGTTTTTTTGACTACATTAATTGAAATATGGCTTATTCACCCCTTAAAAGAATATTGTTGAACTGGCTTGAGAATGTCCATTATATGAAAATTACGAATTGATTCTTTTCTAAAATTGTGTTGTGTTATTTATAAGGCAACTTTTTTGTTAATAAAAATCATTCAGATATATTGAGACCGGTACAATTGAGTACATGTGATATAAATATAGAACATACATGTACATAGCTGAGGAATTGAAAATAAACATGTAAATATTTAAAACTTTTACATGTAATTCTCTTGAAAGAACATGTAAAA